TCGATTTCCGCTCAGTCAACACCAGTGATGATTATCTGAACCGGTGCTGGGCCTCTCCTAGGTCGACTCAGACGCAAATTAGTACCTGGTACGGTGTGTAAATATCGCCACTAGGAAGACAAATACACACACACATGCCACATGGATGTAGCATGTATATTACGCACGTAAGAGAAAACATAAATAACGTGCTGATGTTTAACCTTTTCGAGCAGCGAGGGCAGAGAGACAGATTGACCCACTTATAGCTTGTGCAATTGTTACCAACTCAATTCCTAACTTTTGTGTTGAAGTGTCGAAGGCACGCTAGCAGGAGGTCACGGCACAGACCCAGGTGCCACTTGTCGACTGACTGAATCGACTGGCAGATGCACCACCTGTGCCCCCCACTGTGCCAATTGCTGTGTTTTAGTTGCCCAGCGCTCCGCTCTTTGTGAGCGTTGCTTCTCCGCTCTTCATTGTTGCTGGAAGGCGACCTCCCAGTAGCGCCCTTCACACACTTTCTTCGTAGAGGTCGATCTTGACACCGCTAATGCCAGTCGTCGGCAAGTTCGCTCAGCTCCACATCCTCTTTTGCTGCAGTAGCTCATCTCTGCTTTAGCCGGTGTCATGCTATTCTAGATTTAAAGCTTACGTGACTGCAAGGACCCATACTCTTTGGTTCTATTCGGTAAAGTCACGTAAAAAACAACAAAAAATAAAAATAACAAATTCACGACGTTTCGGCCACAACACAAGTGGCCTTCATCAGGTGAAGGGACCATGCTGTCATGAGGACAGCTTTGGAGTGAAAACAGCCAAGCCCAGGTCGCGTCCTTTAAGCTGTGTGGGAGGAAGCAAAACGTTTGACAAAGGAATTAGTATAGAAATGAGCACGATATACGTAGGAGGTGCATGGGCCATGATGGACCAGGAGCAGGTGGGGACCATAACAGACCAGCAGCAGAGGGGGGGGAGGGGGGGGAGTAGAGTGAGTGAGTGGAGTGAGTGAGTGAGTGGAGTGAGTGAGTGGAGTGAGTGAGTGGAGTGAGTGAGTGGAGTAGTGAGTGGAGTGAGTGAGTGGAGTGGAGTGAGTGGAGTGAGTGGAGTGAGTGAGTGGACTGAGTGGGTGGAGTGAGTGAGTGAGTGGAGTGAGTGGAGTGAGTGAGTGGTGCTTGCTAGTTTAGCCCCCTCTATCCGGCAAAAAGAAGCTGCTTGGGCATGCAGTGACTCGGCATGCGGGCTACATGCCCCAGCCAATGCAGCCTCGCCTGCTGAAGAAGCTTACATAAATGTGCACACGAACACACAATTTACATACATACATGCACATACATTCGCTAGTGCATTTGACTTAAATGCATTTATTATTTAATATGTAATTGGTGGTTAATTATTATTTTTGTCATGTTCCTATGATGGTATGCACTTACCCATTAATTAAACGTTAAGGGCCAGATTGACATTTTGGCGAATGTTTGTTATTTCCGTCCTATTTTTTGTGTCACAAATGTCCCCATGGGCCGCATCATCATTAATGAGAATAATTGCCACGGCGATGTGTTTTTAGCCACTTCGTTAACATGTCAATCTGGCCACAAAAGAACCACTCTTGACAAATTATGATCAATTACGTATTACGGACGTGAAAGAGATGATGGGGCATGTTTCTTAAATCCCACCGCGCATCTGTCCACCCCGCACAGTGCCGCGGTGGCGAGATCTTAACTACCGTGCCTGATCTACAAGAGGTCGTGGGTTCGATCCCAATGCCTGTATATTTGGAGTTTGCATGTTCTCTCCGTGGTCGCGTGGATTTTTTCCACGCGACCTCTGGCTTTTTCCCCTCCCTATAATCGACATTTGTTTAGAGTATTTGTCTGCTATACATTTCCACGCGAAAAGCCACATTGTTGTACTATAATTTGTGGTCAGATCACTTCTGAAAAAGAGCTGTATATAGCTCAGTGAGAGTAACCTGGTAAAATAAAAATAGTTGAGTTTAGTATCATTTAGTAAACCGCATAGGTTTTTGCTGTTATTATTATTCACCTCGTTGCCCAGAAAATCCTCACCAAGCCTCAACTTTTTGTCATGAAGTCCCCTGCCAATTTTTTTTCACAGTAGGGGGGACATTTTACTGCTATGTGCAATCCCCATCGCATAATCTTTAGGTAAGAATTTTCAGCATTCGGATGTTTGGCCAAAGTTTTCGAGTGTTGTGTGAGAATGAGGTTTGGTTTTGTGTTTCGCAACACCACATCACAGACCGAGGGACCCCAGTGAAAATTGGACCTTTGCCACAACCGTGATCAATTGCCTGATAACGTTTCAGGCTCGAGGCATGGATTTATGTAATGCACAATGCAAGATGTGTGTAAGGTTTGATTTATATATACATTTAGATGGTATTCTGTCTGAGATAGAGGTTACAGATATACATTGATTATATCATAATTATCTTATTTATGACAAGTCTTTGCTGACAGCCGTTTGGCTGTGGGGGCTATCTGGGTTTGACAAGGTGCCGGTATTTCGTCTGCAACTCAGAAATCAAAAGCACGTGGTCAAATAGTAAAGTTTACTTTCCGATCGCCTCAGCAGTAAGCTACTCGCAACAACATTCTTGGTACATTAGAACTGTGCTTTAGGAAGGGGAAAAAAGGGTAAAGGCGCATCCCCGCAATCACCTGCTCACATCACTGCCGGCAGAAGGGCATCTTACGGGAGAGAGCTCTAAGAGAGGGTATTTCCCCCTGTTCTATGCTGACCAGGCGTCTTGGAAGAGATCGGCGTACCCACACTTTAGCTCACCGCACGCGACCTGCCCGATCAACTAACTGTGGTGGTATCCATTTATACCGCTGGGTGAACAGAGGAGTGGCGAGAGATTGAACCGGCGAGCTCTGGATTGCAAGGGCGGTGTGTTCACCTTTTGCTCATTTATTTTGAAATGTTTATCGTTGCGTCTAGTTTGTTGTTCTTCCCCCGCGCACCTCGGATTGGCACAGTTGGCTACGTACGGTGCGAAAGAAGTTCAACGTACACACACACACACACCAGCAGCAGTATCTGCGCATACGATATACATAGCGCATAGGACGGCGTCTGTAGCAGCACGCTCTGATGGAAATATATGAAAAGAGGCACGTTGTTCATCATGCATCTCCGCGCAAAGCTAAACTTTTCGTGATTTACGCACACGCGTTCGGCCCGTGTCCTCAAAACACCTTGTGCTCACCGTGTCGAGGAGACGACTTTTTTTTTCGCTTTTATTTCACACGAAGCTGTTGGCCTCCGCCGCACGCGAGCTTGTGACACTTTATTAAGCGGGACCGGCAAGAGCCGGGGGAGAGGCGACATCAGCCTCCTAAATTACAGTCACAAGCCCGCAAAGTGGCAGGCTCGACGAGCGAGAACGTATATCACGTTGTTGTTGTGAATCATGGCGTAATTATTTTAAAAGCCCGATAAGAGCCTAGCCACAGCATGTGTTCTAAAAAAAAAAGCGCCTCCCCCCCTCCCCTCTTATTATTATTTTATAATTAAGGAAATGTGACATTCTGTGTAAACCTTATCCCTCACTTGGCCAAATGTCTCCGGCATTTTGCTCACCTATTGAAAAATAATCAAGGGGTCCCGCTTTTGGACGCGCCGTACAAGAAGCGCACGTAAACCAGTTGAGAAGAAGCCGCGTGGACGTGCGGATTATTATGTAACGCTGTGCAGCATGTGTTCGGCTTTGAAAGTATTAATGAAGCCGACTGGATTTAGCTTTCAGGGCACCAATTCAATAGTACATTGGCAAATTATCCTCGTTTTTTGCTCCGGATTGTGTCCTGGAGTTTTCAGCAACCTTCTGATAAATTTGGTTTCTTTTCAAGGGTGCTTAGTGCCCTAATTGCAACACGACTTTACACTCAATTTTTGTTCGCAATGGATCACGTTTATGAGAGTTAGCGTCTCGTGTTACGGGATGGACCAAGCTTATGCATACACGCTTTCAGCCTTTGATGGCAAATAGTAAAAAAACCCACTGACACTCATCATAGAATAGAACGATTCCATTAGAAAAACACAGAGAGAGATGCATGATAGATGAACAGGGGTAACGGTAGAGTTGCCAACTGAATTGGTTGTCCCAGGATTGTCCTCTTGTTGTTGTAGCTACTGCCCTTTGAAATGTGTGAGCTTTTCCGGGACAAAGTCTCAATTTTTGCAAGTTATGTTCTCATAAAACATACAAAGACAAAGATCCTCCGTTTAGCCCCAACAAGTTCTTGGGGCCGTTAGCGAGCACCTTTGAAGGCCGGCACGGCACACAAGGGGGGTTGGTTTCTAGGCCAGCCGATCCGGCTAGGTGAAGTATGGTCAAACGACTCCCCCGTACGGAGGCCTGGCCTTTATTGTGCAGCAGTGGGGGGTTATTAAACGCGAAAACAATTATCATTCTTCTTCTTCTTCTTCTCATTATAAGGCGGTGAAACAACGAATGCAAATAAAGTAAATGGTTAACAACACCACAGCTCTTGCAACGGTGCCTTTGCGGTCGGGTTGTAACAACAACAACAACCTGTCGTCGTTCGCCGCGATGTCCGACGTTTCGCCCCGAGTGCCGGGGTGAGGGGGATCCGAAGTGCGGCAAACCCGCGTATGACGCGCGGTGCAGCGCGGAAGGCGCGCTGAAGGGATGTGCGTCGCACGAGCAACAGCCGCGAACGCCGACGCGGTCACGAGATCTCGGACTAATCACAAACTACTGTCGTTGTTGTCGTTGTTGTTGTTATTGCTGGCGTTGTGGTCGTCGTCGTTGTTGTTGTTGTGGTTGTGCGCGTCTCGGTAGGAAATGTTGATGCGACGTCAGGTCTGTGCCACGCTCAGCCCTCCTTGCACAGCCATTTAAACCCTCGTCTCACGCCGCTGCGGATCGTTCTAATTCGCCTTCTATCGGTTATTTATTGTTATTATGTGTGTGTGTGTGTTTTTTCCTCTCCCTCCTCCTCCTCCTCCTCCTCCTCCAGAAAGCTGACCTGGCTGTTGCGCCCCTCACCATTAACTACATGCGGGAGAAGGCCATCGATTTCTCCAAGCCATTTATGACGCTGGGGATCAGCATTTTGTACCGCAAGCCCAACGGAACCAACCCAGGGATATTTTCCTTTCTCAATCCCCTCTCACCCGACATCTGGATGTATATTCTGTTGGCTTACTTGGGCGTCAGTTGTGTGCTGTTTGTCATTGCAAGGTAATTCTATTCAATCATTTAAAGTGTTTTTTTTTTCTCTCTCCTGCATGCACGCTATTTTAAGTTGTCGGCAGACTTTGTCGTGCGAGCACGCTTATACTCAACGTTCATTCCCCTTTTGCGCACACATATTTAGAGGTCACCAAGTGTGCACTCAAAGTCATCAGATCTCAGAAGCTAAGCACGGTTTGAATTTGGATAGTGCTTGGATGGGCGATCAACATGGATACATAGGCGGTTGTGTAGCTAATTGGTGGGTTAGTATCAGGGCAGTGCAGCACAATCCATCGTTGTACTATACTTCTGTGCTCCCACGTCTATGATTCTCTCTGCTTTCTCCAACCCCGCACTGACCAGCGTGGTCAAATGTGGTCAAATAATCCCAACCATCTGTACGACATAGGGAAGGCCTTCATCCAGGAGTGGATTGGAGAAAAAGGGACTGTACATAAATAATGAAAAATACCAACACAGCTGCAGTAAAGGTTTATCTGTATGGCTTTAGGTAGAGTCGTTTCTGATGAATACTCACTAAACCTTGAAACTAGGATATTTGAACATCTGTCAGACCATCAATCAGTATTTATTGAGGCAGATGATGAGCACCCATTGATATCCATTATATTTTATGTAATTGACATCTGGATGATGACAGTTATTAGAGGTCAAATGTTATCGCTGTTATTATTTATTTCTGAGTAATTTCCAAATGCAGGCTTTGGACTATGGCTCACATTAAGCAATATATGCCCACACATCGATCTTGCATTGAAGATGCGGTTCAAGCTTGCACAGCTGTAGAATAACATTAGGCGGCACATATATGTTTTAATTAAATGTATATATATATTTTTTATTATTAAATGTGACCAATAGTTCAGAATGATAAGATTGGCAGCCAAGGAATGGGACGCATCCGATAGGACGCCCAACTCGGAGATGGAGCAATGACATCAGTCAATGCTCTATCCTCCACTTCGTTGAGCTATCATTTGTGTCGCTTCTGAAAAAGAGCCACATAGCTCAGCCGCCCTTACCTGGTAAAGTAAAACATAGTTTAAATGGTTTTAATAGTTTAACGTGCAGATGATAGGTGGATTAGCTCATCACGCAATCGTGAACGGTGGCTGCAGCTTGAGGATTTCATCCAACAGTGCATTGACCATGGCTGATGATAATAATAATGATGATGACGAGAGAAAATGCACTATATATAGTATGCCATAAACACCTTCCAGGCGACGGTAGAGACAGCTTGGAAATCCTTTTTGGAAATATCGCAAAGCCTATTAGCCGTTGTTTGAGCTTCCAACGCACAGGCATTTCATTTTAAAACCACGATGCAGCTTCAGAGCAATTGAGCAGAGCCCTGTGATTCTCAAGGGGTTTATGAAAACTGCATGTCTATTTATCAATCAACGGGGATGTAACGATTCACCTTACTGAGCAATGCATTGTCAGTGTTCAGAATAATGATTTGCTCTGCTCTTCTTTTGTCAATGTCACGTGGGGTGGGGGGGGGGGGTAGAATTGCAGCGATATGAATCTATGGACTCTATACTGGTGCAATGCTTTATATATGTCATAATGGAATGGGAATAGAATCATGCGAATATTTGGTGGAGGCAGTGGTGCAGTTGTTTGTACCCCTGCGCTATGAATATGGCGACCGGAGTTCTATTACTGACCACGGCTAACATCGGTGGCGAGTTAACATGCCAGAGATGGTCCCCGCTTCATCGGTCCACACTGACCAGTGTGGTGAAGTATGGTGGTAATGTAACCCTTGTAACTGACGCTGCCTTCATGTGGCAGCAGATTAACCATGGCTGCTGATGATGATAATTGTTATCATATGTAAACCACAAGTCATGTGAAGAGATCTCAGAAGTAGCTCTGTGATATCCACTTCCATTGGCCATTCTCCAAGACGAAGGGTTGCATTGCCCTGCTAGAGATAAAAAAATCGGGATCAATTGGGGGGTGGGGGGTCATTTTTTTTAAAAACAAATAAAAAAGCACTTTTCACTATATATTTTATAAACGTGTTTGCAACAGAATAGAGTACTATACTCACGCTAAAACGCAGCAATTGCGAGATCAATAATTTATTTTATACGAGGAGTTGACGAATCGTTACATCCCCTATCGGCGGCGTCTTCACAATTGGCCAGGCACTCAAGTCTGCAAAATCCAGGTTTCATTTTGGTCCCTAAAGCAACATTTGAGACTCCCAAGTTGGTCCCGTGTGCTCGGTGGGGTCTCAGCCAGAATGGGCTGTGCGTTGAGCTATGGCCTGTGCAGTCACACGTGTTTATGTTCACTGGAGTAGAGTTGAGGCAGAACAGAATTACACCATTAAGTTTTTTTTGCCTCGATGCCATAATGACAGGACATTATGTAGAGCGAAGCTCCCTTCGAAAATTGTTACCACGAGCAACTTCAGAACATTTTAACCTTGATCCTTATGTGCCATCATCATAATGATTATTCACAAGGTGACATCTGTTGGGTCAAGTCCTACCGGCACGGAGAAATTTTACTTATTTAATGTAGTTAATACTATCATAAAATTGCCCTCATTTAATGTAGTTAAAACTATCATAAAAGTGCTGAAATATCAACTAAAATGCTGCACCGAGTGGGTAATGTGGTTTTTTATATAGAAATTTGAATATTAATTCCAATCTCTTTTGGAAGTTTCTCGTGGATGACATATTCTTTATACATTGCAGGACATTATTATTCCGCATAATGTGCCACTATATCTGTTAACTTATTTCCCGGCATATTGTGTCGCTATATTTGCTATTGCTAAAACAAATTAGATGAGGCCAACAGGCATGTAAAAATCACGTGAAACTACACGGCATTCTCATAGGGTCTGAAATGCAGATTTTGTCTTCTCAATTATCCGCTGTGATTTAATGCCAATTTCAGACCTAATTGAAATTACCTTTAAAGGTATCTCAATTTATTAAAATAATGTAAAATGCCATTTTAGGTATTTAAACTTTTAACTCCTTAAAACATTGCCATGTAAATTAATCAGTGGTTAATGTAAGTGACTTTTCATAATCTGGTTAATTGCATTTTTACAAGAGGACTTAAAATTGTTGGGACACCTTGACAAGATGGGTAGTTACATTGAAACGTTTTCATATTCTCCTTAAAATGAGTGCAAGGCTTTTTCTAAATCACACATCGAACAGCCTAGCGTGTAGAATTTAGTCACTTTGTGTGTAGTCATTTCACTCATCAAATACCTACCCAGTAACCATGGAATGTTGGGCCAACGTTGGTGCATGTTTGACTGGGTAACGCTCCATTAACTTACTCTTGTAGGCATCAATCTCAAATGTTATTTCATGGGAGGTCATTATATCAACAGCTTTGTAACAAACCACTGGAACGTGGAATTTCCAACACCAGAGATGCAGTAATGGAGGTGATCACTGCCCACTTCTCATTTGAACAGGGATACGATTTGACTCGCCCTCCCCCCCCACTTTAGTTTATCATCATTATTTATCATAACGCCACCTCTGTAATTTCCTTGCAACTACAGCAATTTGCATTTAACAGCACTCAATAATGCAATTCCATTCATTCAAAACACCCTCTGCAAAAAACAACAACCAGCAGTCTTCCAGCATGGCTTAACCCTGCATGCCCTACTGAAGTCATGTCCCCAAAGTATTGTGCCTGCGGTGTCTTTAGGCTGTGCCCCATCGCGGGGCCTGCCCAGCACAGCTTTGTTTTACGGTTTACCACCCAGTGGCTGCTTGTCATTAGGGGCAAATGGGGGCCGGTTCCCCACTAGTGAAATAAATAAATACAAGTTTCACTGATAATTAATAACACAATGTAACACAATATTTGTTCCTGGGTAGTAAGTGTTATTTCGTAATTGCTGAAGCCTAAAAAGTATAGAAAATGGCTATTATTCCCAACAAACTTTGCTTTTGTGACCAGGACATTGATATTTTGAAATTGACCTATTTTCATTGAGAAGACGGGCGAATTTGTGTCTTTCGTTCACATAAAGTCAGAAAAAACCCAACATATGAATCAAAATAAATATGTATTTATACTAAAGTAATACAAAAATACTACAAAGTTTCGATTTAAGTGAGTAGTTTTTCGAGATTTTCGATTATACTGTAAATCACTTTAACAAATCAGCCCCCTAATGTAGTCTCCCATCATGTTCTCGTTATACTGTTCTTGGTAGCGGCGTTCAAAGTCCAGCATATCCTGGTGGAAGCGCTCGCCTTGCTCCTCCGAGTACGCTCCCATGTTCTTGAATTTATCAAGATGAGCATCAAGGATATGGACTTTGAGGGACATCCTACAGCCCATTGTGCCGTAGTTCTTCACCAGAGTCTCAACCAGCTCGACATAGTTTTCGACCTTGTGATTGCCCAGGAAGCCACGAACCACTGTGACAAAGTTGTTCCAAGCCTCTTTCTTCTTACTAGTGAGCGTCTTGGGGAATTCATTGCACTCCAGGATCTTCTTTATCTGTGGTCCGACGAAGACACCAGCTTTGACCTTTGCCTCAGACAGCTTAGGGAAGAAGTCTTGAAGGTACTTGAAGGCTGCCGACTTCTTATCTACAGCTCTGACAAATTGTTTCATAAGGCCCAATTTGATGTGCAGTGGTGGCATCAGCACCTGCCGGGGGTCCACCAGTGGCTCCCACTTGACGTTGTTCCTCCCCACAGAGAACTTGGTCCACTGTGGCCAGTCTCACCTGTGGTAGTGCACCTTGGTGTCCCTGCTGTCCCAAAGGCAAAGATAGCAGGGAAACTTGGTAAAACCGCCTTGGAGACCCATCAGGAATGCCACCATTTTGAAGTATCTGATGACCTCCCAGCCATACTCATCATACTTCACGGAGTGAGCCAGGGGAAGAGACGGGTACTTGTTACCATGAGGGAGCAGCACGGCTTTGAGGCTCCTGGATGAGCTGTCAATGAAGAGGCGCCACTCATTCT